CAGAGTATTTTCATGGAAATAAATGCAAAAGTATTGTAACGAAGCAATACAGTTCAGGCACAGATTGATATGTTGATGGCAACCTCTCCTTAATTGACATGCAGCCAGCAGTGATGGCTATTGTTTTTTCTCGAGTTAGGTTCTTTGTCATTTTGCCTCAACTGTGGACAGATTTCAACTGCAGCCAGTTAATAGCGAATTACCCAAGCTGATTTTCCTTGACTGGATTAGGCAGCTCAGCCACCATTAAATAGGTTTTTTCCCAGCATTAAGGTGAACAATAGATGGGGAATTACCTGTAAATGGTCGAATCTAAACAGTAGGTCCTTCCCATGGTTGTAGGAAATTTTAATTCTATCTCCATGATTGCACAGCAGTTGGGTGAATGCAGTTTGTTCAATGACTAATCCAAACACAGCGTGGACACATTTGTATTACACTGGTAGAGATTATCTTGTTCCCACCCGTAAATTAATGGCTATGTTATTCAGTATATAATGGCTAAATCATTTTATTTTAATGAATATACTGAGATGAAAGATTAAGGATGAAGGCTTTGGAAAATGTTTTACTTTGAAAATGCTAACGTTGGAAAAAAAATCTATTTTATTTGTCTGGTTCTTTTTTGAGTTGAGATTACAATTTACGTTTCATTATTAAACTGTAAAAGTCAAGGTATGAATTAAATTCTGTAGCTGAACTCCAGGTATAAAGTATATAAATGTGTTACTATGCATACTTTGGTTCAGCTTGGCCCAATGTAAGTATGCACATGTTATATTTGACCGGCCGCTAGAGATCTTGTGAAGCACTGTAGTAGCTGCAATCCTCCTGGTCCCATACTGTGCTGCGCTGAGCAGATTCCCCTCTTCTCTGAAGACATGGGGGTCGTTCTCTCAGCACAGCAGCCATTCAAAGAACATCTAGTATTCTTATCAATGATTACAAGGCACTCTCTGATTGGATGATGTCACAATCCAATCCAGCCACCATATTCAAGGACGGATAAGCTGCAAAATATTCTGCAAATTGTGTGATAATAATAAAAATATTTTTTTAAAGTATTGTATATTCTCTAGGAGTCTCCAGCTCTGCAAAATGACCCTGCATTCTAATTAATTATTATTCATTAGAAAATCAAAAATATACAAAAAGTTGTATCTACAAGATGATTGTTTTTATATAGGTACTCGTAGGCTTTTCGGGGGTAAAAACCTGAGCATCTGACTGCCAAGCAAGTACTTATAATCACACAAAACATTTTTCCACCTTTTTGGAAAAACTCAATGGAAAAGGGCCAATCCTTATTTAACCCATCACCTTTTCCGTTTCCCATAAAGAAGAGGAAAAGAAATGCCTCGTCATACACTGCTTTGGTCCATTGGCCAACTTGCAAGGTACATGTAGCAGGATCCAGCGCAGTTGAAGATAGGCAGACATCATACCATACTATTGTTATACCATAATATTTAGCCAACCCATGCTCAGAAAGACTAAACAGTTGGCTTTGAGGGGTCTTTTCTTAAAGTATATCTAAACCCAGGAACAGAAATGTCATATATTGCAGCTTACCAGTTCTTAGATGTGGTGGCTGCATTTGTTTTCTAATGGTATAGCCTAAGTAGATTTTTGGCAAGAAGAAACAAATCTGTTGAGCCTGCTAGAAATTCGGTGTCCTTGTAACTTCCATTGTATTGAACTGATTTTGAATGTATAATATTGGCTTTCCTTACTGTCTTTGGTGAATCAAAAAACTATTCCCGGCTCTGTAATGGAGATAAACAGAATGGGAGGTGTTAGTAGTTCAAAGCCTAAGGTGACAACACTGATCCTCCGTAGATACAGTACAGTGAATGAGCTTTGATACCCTAGGACAGGAAGTGTGTTACTGGCTGGATCACTAGGTGAAAACAGGTCTAAAAAAAAACAATGCAGCCACCACAACTAAAGACTGTCGTGGAGAGCTTCAATAAATAACATTTTGTTACTGGGTTTAGATTCACTTTTAACACTATGGCTTTACTCTGATAGATGTTAAGTAGTACTTAATTTATGTGCTGTTATAGGACATTAACTGTGCATGTGTAGGTTACAGAAACACAATGGGCAGATGTTAGCAATAGTTTAATTATAGTGCATGTGTTTGTAAGAATAGCTATAAATGTCATGTCAAGAACAATGGTTGGAAAGACATCTGTCTGTCTTGGACTGTAATTATACCTTCTGCAAGTATCTGCCATTTTGGCAAATGGACAAAAGCAGTAAAAGTGTAGCAAAGTACTTCCTTACGTCTTCCTAATGGGAAAGAGGAAAACTAAAATAGGGATCGCCCTAATGCACAAAGCTTTTCCAGAAAGTATTTGTGTGTGATTACAAACACTTGCAATAGTCAGATGCTTATACTGGGCCATTCAATCAGGAAAAAGTTGGACTGTTTATGTCAACCTTTTGAGAAGAAAGGGATCTTTTTGTGATTAAGTCAGGTGATTAAGTCGGGTGGTGGAACACAGGTGAACCTTACTGGTTGTCTTTTTGGTGTACCAAAATGTTTTTTGTTTTTTTTTTAAAGTAGCTGTCAGACTACTGGCATTTATATAGAAACTAGAAAGTTAAACTGTCTGCTATGTTGGCTCTCGCTAACTCTGGTGGCAAGAATTCTGTGTCCTGACACTTGCCACAAACATTACAATGACTCAATTCTCTTTGTTGTATTTTTATGTGTTTGATAGAAAATTCAGCAGGAGTATTTGGGACACCCCACAAGTGTACAGGTACACTCAAAACTGTAACGTGTTAAGGAACAGAGGCAAGAACAATTAAAAAATCAGCTCACCAGATACCAGCTATAACCAAAACACACAGCTTTTGGGCGCACTGACCCTTTAACAGAGACAATTTTTCTGAACAATCTAGATGCAAAGCAGCATGTACGGGGAAGCACTGTAACATTCCCTAGACAAATTAAGCAAATGACAAAAGTGCTAATCTGATGATGTCTTCTGAGTGAGGCACCAGCACAAGTCACCAAACTAATCATTACAGCAAGCCCAGCGACAAAACCAGTTCCGTCAACACAAAAACCCATTAGCAAGGAAACAGGATTTGAGAAAAATGGGGAATACACAACGTAGGAAAAACACAACAAGAGTTTTTATCTTGGCTCCCCAGCTCTGAGTCAAGTGGACCTCTGCTGACTAGGGCCTCTGGCATGTAGCCCTCCGGCTGTTTACAGAACTAATTGGACAATGTTCCAGAGTGTTGTCACTGACATTTTTAAAAACAAATATGTTATGGCAAAGAGGAGCAAGTCCATTAATGACAAGAATGACAGTCAATGCTAGTACATAAGCGTGGTTTAAATTAGAGTAGACATATTTCAAAAGGTGTAAGCAAAGCAAAAATGAGTATGTGTGCTTAGGCAAATGTATTAGAGTGATTGCTGTTTCATTAAGAACCGGACCTATGACAATTTTGACCAAGTCAGAATTACACACATGACCAAAGTACACATACCCTATATGACCAAAAGTTTGTTGACAACTGACTTTCTTATGTGGCCAAAAGAATGTGGACCCTCATTCAAATTTTGAGTTATAGGAGTTTCCAGTAAAAGGTACTATATTTCCTGCCTACAAAGACATTTTGAACAATTTGAGCCCTTCCAACTAGTGGCAACAGGTTAGGGAAGTAGTTTTGGAATGGGATGTCCAACGAGTTCATATAGATGTCATGGTCAAGTGCCCACAAAGCATATAGTATATATCAATATAAAATGCAGTGGTACTGTTAGACTGTGTATGGAAACACATAAATGCAGTACCAGAGAATGAAAGTAGTAATTGCAGGGGCAAGAAGCATTGTGCTAAACCTCCAAAATCTTGTGGAACGCCTTCCCAAACTAGTGGATCCTGCTATATACAGATGCCATATATGCCATAATAAAGCCCATGGTTTTGGACTATAATGTCAAACAACCTCATATAGGTGTCATGGTAAGGTGTCCATGGTATATGGTGTATCTCTTGGAAAAAGAAAGTGCAGTGGTACCGTTAGACTTCTAGTGCCATGCATAAATGCAGTCATAAAATTACAGGGATTGAAAGAAGAAATTGCATGTACACGATGCATTGTGCTAACAGAACCTCTTTTTTTTTTATTTAGAAGAGCTATATTTGAGAAAAGTCATCATGGAAGTAGGTGTAATCAACACCTTAGACATAACTCCAGACACCCTTCGCAGAGATACAGTCAAAAAAAAAACCAGACAGCAAAGCAAATAAGAAAAGGTGACTTAGTTACCAATCAGTTGGATACAATCATTATGGTTTTGGGGAGGGAAGGGTTTTGAACTGTATACAGGAAGGATGCTTCCATCCATAAGGGTGATGCAAGAAAAATATATGGGACATGTTATTGGGATCTGAAGATCATGGTTTTGGCCTGGATTTTCTATTTTAAAGACATCACACACTAAAAACGTCATGCTTTTTAATGTTCTCAAAATTCCAGGGAGATTTTATAGCTTACTTTAAATTCCTTTATGATACAAATTCTAAAGTCAATGTGCAGTCTAAACCTTTTTCTTGTTTCTGATACAGTGGGGAAGAATTACAGCCAGCAATTAAAAATGCTTTTTTGGAACAGTAGGGGAAGGCTGGAATACCTGTTAGATTTTGCTTTTCTGTTGCAGATTTCCTTTACTTCCTGTCTTGTGAAATCATTTGCACAAATATTTAATATTTTCATATATACAGTACCTTCAAAACAATTGATGGTTCATTATTAAACTATTTTGGACTTTGATATAAGACTTTTATTTTATTTTTATTTATATTTACAGTGGTACCTCGGTTCACGAACTTAATTCGTTCCACGATTCTGGACGCGAACCGAATTGGTCGCGAACCGAATCGAATTTCCCCATAAGGTTCAATGTATATAAGGTTGTCACCTTCATTACCGCTCTGCACATTCTTGTCACCTTCATTACCGCTCTGCACATTCTTGTCACCTTCATTACCGCTCTGCACATTCTGGTTACCTACATAACCGCTCTGCACGTTCTTGTCACCTTCATTACCTCTCTGCACTTTCTTTTTACCACCAATGCTTGCTCTGCACTTTCTTTGGAGCCATGCTGGATTGAATAATACTGTACAGTACTGTATGTGCTAAAAAGCACACAAAAAAGCTTCACAGAAAGTGTGCACAGGTCTGTCTGCGACGGCGATCTCGACTAGAGGAAGCCACAACCACGTGTCAGAGCGGGGAAGATGGCCACGGTTGTGTTGGTCACCCGATGTGGAGTTCGTGAACGGAAGCAAAATTCTGCTGAACTTTCTGTTCGCAAACCGAATTGTACGTGAACAGAAGCGTTCGTGAACCGAGGTATTATTGTATATAA